TATATTATATAGTTTTAAAAAATTTGGTTTTTTGCTCCAGGTTCAATCGAATGGCAGATCCCCGCAACGCCGATTTGACAGTGGCTACAAAAACGACGTTTAATAAAATGGCTTCAGCGTCGTCATTTTATTAAAAAAATAAATGAAAAAAATATTTTTTACTTCTAAAGATATGTATTAAAGCCTTAAAACGAATTTTGTGTTACTTTTATTGTTTTCCTAAAAAAAATTCCCAAAGTTATCTATGATTTTTAGGCGCTCAAGGTGGTGTAACCCCTTAAGAAAATTGACCACTCACAGTCGATTATTCATCTCACGTAAGAAGAATAATCGATTGTGATTGGTCAATTTTCTTAAATCTCTCATTGTAGACATCGCTTAACGGAAGTAGGAATTTGCGCAAAGAGACTTCTCTTGAAAGAGGAATGTAGCTCGAATCGATCTCAATTCGTTCCGCGTTGTTTCCTAGAGGCAAAACGATTCCGAGAACATTTCGAGATCTCTGTCTCTCTTCATGGTAGCAAATATGCGAAGCGATTTCGCACCATGACGCAACTTTCCGCGTCATTTTGCATCGTCTTCTAGGCGGCTTGCACGACGCGGCGGATTAATTCTGACGTACGTGCGTCGAGGGAATTTTGTTAGCGTAACTTCTCTCGCAATGACGGACGCGCGCGCGCGTGTATGTGACCCGAGCTGATTGCAGGCGCGACAACGAGTGGCCGCGTGAGCTCCTCTCGTAATTACGCCTGTCTACGTCAATGCAAGTGCACGTACAGATAAACAGCCGAGTTATTATGCTGCGAGTCTCAACGATTGGTACAATTGAAGTTCCGGCGGCGAGCTCGTCCAAGGCGCAGGTGTCCCCCACGTGACGTTATTTGCGTCCTCCTCTTCTTCTAATTCAATCCTTTGTCGCGTATCGAAATGTATACGCAGTATATCTGTCACATCAAAGCGCGACTGGAGTTTGACGTAGTGGTATATCTGTTACATGGAATGTACCACATGACTCGAATCACCTCGATCACTCTCCTTGTGTCGAGGCTGTCGATTTACTTCCAGGTTCTCCTCTGATTCCGATGGAATAAATGAATAAATTATCTTTAGATGTTCTTCGGACAATTTTAATAAATCAATAAAACAGTACAAAAGCTAATGTGCACACTGTGTCGCAAAATAGTTTTTGCGAAAAAAAATCTACTAATGCAGCTTTCCAACAGGAGCACATATCGACATAAAAGTTGTATTGTTTTTGTTCAGTGAGAGATAAAGACAGGATGATTCTCATATCAATCTATGTCTCAAAAGCTAAAAAGCTTTGTTAAATAAAAGAAATGTCAGTTAGCGATATGTCTTTCAATCTTCAAGGATTTAAATCATTGTTTGAAATTAAAGTATCGTAAATCAATAATGCGCAGTCTTGGAAAGCAAAATTTAATTAACTTTTCTTAGTCACACCTCTTGGAAGTTTTGTAATGGTCGCACCGAGGATAAAATAATTCTAGCGTATTTAACTGGTTGCTGTATTCACAATTTTCATTCTTTGAAGTCAAAAAATTTACTGAACATATTTCAAATACTTCAGATCATAGAAATATAGTGGCTTTAAAAAAAAGCTGTAAAAATTTTAACACATTAAAAAAATTGCAAAAGTAAAAATTTTTAAAAAATGAGTTATAATTTTTTTATTCAAAAATTGTTTTTCTTAATTTTTAATTTTTGTTTATAAAAATTTATGGTTATATTCTACAGATATGACACTCAGAAAACAATTTCCCACTTGTAAAAAAGCAAGTGTAAAATTATTGTATAGAGTATTTATTTAATACAAAAATATTATTATTATACAATTCCTGCTTGAATTAGTATTATTATAATTATAAAATAATATATAAACAATAAAAAATTCCTCAAATATTTTTGAAGTCCAGTGGACCCCGGATGATCACGAAGAGAATAAAATTTATCAATTTTTCATATCATAAACGTCTTAGGATGTTAATTACAATAAAAATTATTATAAAAATCCAGTTATTTTCGAAATTAGATTCCCCTATCAGAGAGTTTAAAGGGGTATCATCTAACTTCTTTTCCACAGAACAAATTGCCCTCTTATCCTCTCGTAAGAAAAACTCGAAAAAAAATATACGTTCAAAGAAAAGGATCAGAAAGTCTAAGTGTTCCGGAATATTAGCGCAAACGCGAGCAATTTAGAACGAAGTGTCTCTGTAAAAGTAATTAATTGGACACCCCTGCGATCTATTTTCGTGCTGCTTTCGATTCGATAACGATCGTGCCATGACCTTTCCGACCGCAAATTGCCGTCGTCTGACCTCTACCGCGACCTAGATCTGATCGAGGCGCCGATCGACACCGAAAAATGTTTTCGATCCCGCGTTCGACTCCCGCGTATTCTCATTCGTCCGTTTAGGAGACAGATTTTGATATCAATTTATAATTATACACTTTAACAAAATACATAATAAATTCATAATATTGAAGTAAGTTTAGCGATTTAACGGATGAGAGGCCGCGTGAATTATAATGTTGTGATGTATAAATGTTAGCAGGTTATATTAATGTTATAAATTATATCGATTTTTTTTCGACCGATTGAGAACTACTCGGGGATGATACAAAAGTGTTCGAATTCAATCGAAGTTTATGACCTGCTTTCTCTCCCCCGTCATTAACGGATTTGATATTATCAATTCTTTATAATCGGCCTATTTTCGTCGGATACGCGCCGAAAAAAGAAGATATTAGCAAAGCGGCAAAGTGAGGATCAGTAAGCCGATTAATTTATCGTCGGGATTTTCCGTTTGGCAAAGATTCGCTCTCTTACACAAGACTAAATTGCTAATTCAACAAATTTCATTCAGTCTCAATAGATAAGTGACAGATGATTTGCATAATTACATTTTTAGCACAATCGCGCAATCAACTTGTTTCATCAGCCAGTTCGCAATTGAATTCGTTATAGTTAATTTCGTCATTTATGAAAAATCAAATTAGTTAAAACTATTCAGGACTGCGTTTGCGAAATTCAATGACTGCAATGTTCTTAGAAAAGCAAATTGCACATAAACATTTATATTAAAAAGCGGAAACAAGTGTTAGGATTGTTAAATTCATTGCAAGCGAAACATGTAAAAAAAAGTTTGAGATAAAAATTTTTACAGATGTAAAGAGAAAAGACGATGCATGTATCAATTTTTCAGTCGTAAAAAAATAATTTTAAAAATAATAGTATTTTTCTCATGGTATTTTAAGCATATTTTCTAATATTTTTTTATATACCTCAGAACAAAAAAATTCAGTCGTTTACTTGAATCAAAATATAATAAAATAAACATCGTATAGTTTTAGTTATATTAGAAAAAACATCAATGACATTAATATTTTATAAAAAAATTACTATAAAAAATTGGTATTATCCTCTGTTTAAAACTGTAAATTTTTATTTTTTTATGCTGGCAATATATTTGAGCTCTCTCAATTCTTCTCACCCTGTATATTTGAAATTGAGACAAAGATTGATTACGCTAATCGTGAAAACAGAGTGTATGCTTAACCTTTTCTAATCTTCCGCTGCAGTATTACAGAAATAATAAAATGTGACTTCTTGATACGTTTTAATTTTTAATCTTATTAAATTTCGTAAAGTCGAGCCTCTATTATTAATTCATTCTTGATAAGATTAATATAAAAAAAGATAGACTAGAGATAAAGTAAAATGAAATACGTGAGACAGAATAAATGACAAGTGTTGGTAGGAATATGCAAGGTCGCGAATAAGTCGCGTGGGGGAGGTCGAGAGACATCGATTAATTATACTTGTTAATCAGGAAGAATGGCAGATAAAATGTATAAAATAAATGAGGCTAAATTAAGCCGACAAAAGATTAGAGTGAAAGAAAGAAACAATTTTGTTGCGCATGCAAATGGGGGACTCACCGAGATGCGACAACGAATACGGATCTGAAACAACAAAAAAGAAACAGACACGATTAAACCTTATTGCAGATTTTATTGGCTACACAACCTGCAGATGCTCAATTAACAGAGCACCTTTATCAATAAGCAATCATCATGCGATAACAAATAAAGTGAGGCACGACTTGCACTCCGAACGGAAACGAAACGACAGATTTAACGTTTATCTCAAACATTATTCGTAAAATTCTAAATATCGACACTAAAATTCAATAACATCCCGCAGTAACAAAATGTAACGCGGCATTCCCCGCGATTGACGTCACGACATTTGAAAGAAATATACTTTTTCCAAATAAAAAATCGATTTTTCAGTAGAATTAGCGGAACGTAACATCATCTTTGAATTACAGTCGAATCTCGATAACTCGAATCTCCTCAAGGGAAGGGATATATATATATATATATATATAAAAGACAAAAATTTTGTTTATTCTCTTCCGCTCCACTGCGGGAAACTTCTATAAATCGAAAATTCTATAAAACCTACTTAATTAACTCAAATTATTTATCAGATGTATTATTTTACCTTTGCAACTCGAATTTAAAATAGCCAGACCTCTACAAGTTGAAGTTCACCTCTATCAGTCGAACTTCTGTTGTCGCTGCCTCTACAATTCGAAGTTGTATAACTATATGTAACTATGAGTAATAGTCTGGTATTTTATTTTATGATTACATTTATTATATGTATGCAATAAATAATTCACTGTCAAATATTGATTTTTTTCATTAAAAGCCATTATAATCGGAAAATTATAAATTCTCATACAAAGCCTTCGTAAGTCAAATTTTTATACTTTAATCCTCTTTTACTCCAATTTTGAAAAGTCGAAAACCATAACTCGAAGGGTTTTTCTCTTCCCTTGAGGAGATTCGAGTTATCAAGATTCGACTGTAATTCAAAGATGATGTTACGTTCTGCTAATTCTACTGAAAAATCGACTTTCTATTTGAAAAAAGTATAATATTTCTTTCAAATTTCGTGACGTCATACCTCAATAACTCGAATCTCTACAACTCGAAAACCTCTCTCTCTCTCTCTCTCTCTC